CAAGGAACTTCAGGATGGAGAGATCCTGACCACGGGGTCAATCGCAAATCAGGTATTCTAATTGTAAGTGCTGTCTCCAATGCTTCCAGGACACACACACAAATCTTGCCAAAGTATCTAATCTACTACTCCGTAGACTACGTATGTTGGTAACAAAAAAGCTCCATGAAACATTTACGTGGATCTGGCTGAATATAAATACCATGGAGTTTGTTAATGAATATGAAATTATTGAATAAGTTTCAAATGTTCAATTAAAGGAAGAAACATGGTGGCACCCAACATTGGGTGCCATGGTCCCATAAGCCGGTCATAGTGGCACCCACCGGCGGGTGCCATGGTCGTCAGAGGGTTAGTGCACACACCTAATGGTTTGGTAAACTTAATGGCGAAGTCAGGGGAATTTTATGTAAAATGACTCCAGCAATGTTGTGTTGTACACTCACGCAATGTCGTTTATTGTCAGACTTTATATTGTCAGTAACCGAGGGAATAAAAGAGTTGTATAACACAATGTCTAAAGTTACTCAGCAGAACCACCTACCCTACATTTGGGAGTGATTCCCCAAAACAGTAGCATCACTTCGTTCAGGCGACGTAACCAGATAGGGAAATGGGTCCCATCTTCGACAGGCCGGTAAAAGGAAGTATTTTCAGAGGAAAAGAGTACTTTGCTAACATTGCGGTCGTCGTTATAGCTCCAAACAGCTAACCACTGCAATAACTGATTCACGAAGCTCTGGCGACAAAAAAATTCCGCTGCGTGAGGGCCAAAGTCTGTGATCGCGCTTCCCATGTCTAAGCAATAACTGCCGAAGCGGCATCACGAGGTGCCTTGCTATCCTCAGTATGGCCAAGTTACTTGGTCTGGAAAGTGAATCGCCTAAGGGTGCCGTTGATGAACCCGAGCTAGTGGTGTCTAACCAGGGAGGGGTAGTCTACTTATCTTGGAACTTTGAATTCAGACCCAGATAAATCGATAGAGTTTTGAATGCTGTTTACGAAAATGGGAATTAAAACTGCAAAATGATTCTCCTTAAAAAGTTATGGGGGCCCGAATTTTGCTCGACAGTAGTATCAATTGTCTGAAGAAATNNACTTTTGAAGGAGAACCATTTTGCAGTTTTAATTTCCACTTTCGTAAACAGCATTCAGAACTCTATCGATTTATCTGGGTCTGAATTCAATGTTCCAAGATAAGTAGACTACCCCTCCCTGGTAAGAGAGGAGCGACAGCCGTAAATGAACCGACAGCTTCGATCGATTCATGTCATCAAAGTATTCCCAACCCTGCTGTGAAGGGGAGACGGGCAGTAAGATCGGTTTTATGTAATCAATTCGCCGCAGGTCATTCGCCTCATTATTACAGTTCTAGCGTTCTTCATACAGCTCAATCGATATGCAATTACTTTTTCTGGCATGATTCTGATGTTAGTTCTTTTGTTCCTGTAATTCTTACAAGCTGCTGCATTCTGCTGCATCCCTTCGCGTGCGCCGCCTCTCCCGCCGCGACGCGACCATCCCGGTCCTACTGCACCACACCCCTGCAAAGTACTTTTCCGTTAGCCAGCGAACCCTTGCTCAGTAACAAAATTCTGTCTAATGTGAGACCCCTCAGGGCGATGCACTCCGTTCCCATAGAGTCACTGCACGAATGGAAAAAAGAACGTCGTCACTTCCAAAGCACTGGCCGCAGTCTTGTTAGGAACAACTTATTCGTCGTCAACAGGGTTACGGTAAAGATGAGACACTACGTCCGAATCAGTAGTGCTTACAGATTAAACTTAGACCCCCTGGATTTTCGATATTTCCCATTTTGCTCTTTCAGTAAGCGTGTCAATGAGTCACAAGCAAAATCGAGCTACCTCTCTCAAATCATGTGTCGTTCGCTACCCTTGCTTCACTCAGTTAACTTTCTCGGTGTTTTGTTGTTAGATTTGCTGTCAATCTGTCGACTTATATGTTACTTTTGCCTATCCGTCGCAAAACTTCCTATGATTATGATAAAGGTAGAGATATGGAAATCCGTAGCCAAGTGATGTTATAACACTCACGAGAAGGCTCGAAAGGTTGGTAGCTGCGATGTTAACTATAGCGCTTATACACTGTGAATCATATGTTAGAATGAATATATAGAATCATAGACCTATCTATACTTTGCCTCAGCAATACTGATCAATCGATAGCGATTAGTATTAGTTTGAGACATGTTTGACTGGGATATCAGTCGATGCTAACAATAAACAACGATCTTCTATCATTCGTACGGCATTGGTTATGAAAAAGAAACGTTGACGAGTGGTCTTCCTTCGAATAATACGTACATATAACGAGGGCATATGGTTTTCCTCATTAATCCAATCCCTCAATCAGGTCTTGTTGACAGCTGGTTTTCCCGTTCATAGTGGAACATTGTTAAGTTTGATCGTTTTGTTTACTGTCTTATTTTCGGCGTACGGACTACTTGAACTCAGTAACACTGTTAGGTCTGATCATTTTGTTTACTATCTCATTTTCGGCCTACGGACTACTTGAACTCGGTTCTTTAATTGTAGCGACCGCTCCTATTTTCGGTTTTGTAGTCGCTTGTGACTATAATCTCGATCTCTCGGGTTAGTATATTATATGAGATGTTGCAATCTGTTATTCATGCCTTATCATGCTGCAGATGAGCCTTGCTCAACAGTGATGACTTTGGAACCCGGTCCTGACGTGGAAGCTCTCTGCAGTATCGCGCAAGCAGAGGAGATGGAGCTGCTCCGGTCCATGTATTCTGAAGCCGAATTAACATTTGGGTGCTCGGCGTCAGATCAAAGATCTCTGCAACCATCTTGCTTCACGATAGGTTTAGTGAGTAACATTTTCTTAGCCATTTGCCGATTTTCTTGGACTGGATATGATCTGCTTTTGGTGATGGACAGTATTTGAACGCTGGAATATTGAGGTGTTCGACAACGAGTCGGTCAATATCGAATTTCGCCTGCCAAGGGATTACCCCTACATAGATTTCCCAGCGGTTTTCATCAGAGGAAGTGAGGCATTCCATAAAGATCGGTTTGTACATATTAGAGTGTAGGAGTATTCAGTCTTACCTCATTGAGCCTTTTAGGTGTTCAGAATAAATAGTGATATTCGAGAATGGATTCATCAACAGCAACTAGGTGTTCCACTGGTAACAGAGATAATTTCTTGGCTTGATCAAAACCTCGAGAAATACCGTGTCAATCCCAGTGGTTCATGTGGTTCGTTTTTGCCTTCGGTTTGCTGGTTCATGTTCAAATATTAACTGGATTGTTAGCCTGCAACTCAGCCGAACATCGGTGTTGAGGAGCGGCTTGCGTTCTTCACCTCCAGTTGAATATGTCTTGCTGCTGCTACGCCTGACTGTGTAAAAAAGTTCCAAAATTTTGAAGCGTTAAAAAACGGTCAACAATCGGTTGGATTGCTTTGCTGCAGGAGGTGCTGGTCTTCGAGGTAACGCAAGCATCGTATCATGGTTTTAATTGGAGTGGAGGGACCCATACGTGGTGAGTAGTTAAGCGCAGGCTAGATAGTGTACAGCTGTCCCTCACACCTTAAACCTCCGTATGTGACCAACGTGGTGAGAGAAATTCGTCCATAACTATATTTTTGGTCCCTAAAGAAGGACAGCATACGTCGAAATTTCGCTTTAGACACCTGTGAAAATTTTGCCGAACTCGCTTTGCTTCAGGTTGTTCTTCAGCCGTACACCCTAAACGTTGTATTTTCATTACCATGTATTCAGCCTTTCCGAGCGCCTCTTCACGGGAAAAAGTTCGTAAATTAGCTAGATCGGAAACGGCAATCAATGATCCCTTTGAGTCACCGGTTCCTGACTGTGATTTAAAGACATCAGTGATTCCCTCAAAGGATAAGAGAAGGTTGTTGAAATCTTTTGTGAAATATTCCCTGAATTGATTGCTCTGGGAAATTCTAGAGATGAATTTAAAGTGGCTTCCATTTTGTCGCAGGACATTCTTGCCAACATAATATTAATCCAGTTAAGAGAAAATCAGCAGTTATTGCTTGTTTACTTAACCCAGTAATGACCAAACTCCCTTACCAATCCTGAACATTTCACTAGGCTGCTGAAGCTTTTGGACATATGTCAAGTGTTTGAAGCCTCTTTCAAGCGGTTTTATGCACTTGAGGTTCCAACGCTCTAAAGTCGTCGGAAACAGCGTAATCAATGTCTCTGAAATGTTATGCGCATACAAGCGATGGCATGACTCTATACTACGAAAAACTCCCTAACAGTTCCGAATGGATTTGGTGCTTTGAATTTCTTGGTAGTTAATTCACTCATATCGTGATAGTAACACGGGTAGTACGTTTTTCGGCCGTCTATACAGTGCCCCACAAATTTAGCACAGTCCTGAACGCATCAAAGTTGCATGAAAACCTCCACCCCAAAGTTTCCTGGCAAGATTGTGAGGACTCATAGGATACATACTTATAATATTATGAAAAGTTACTTGTAAAGCAATACCGATTTTTATTTGTTGTCTTGCAGACCAATTTGCATAATGTTACAAAACGTCGAGAGGCAAAAAGTATTACACGCTTTTCATTGTTTTTTAAGGAATCTAATTCAGATCTCTAGGTAATTTTCGTTCGAAGTTCCGTACAGCACAAAATGTTCAGAGTGCATAGGGAGAAACTGCTGAAGCTGCTTGAATACAGTAGTTGGGGCGCACCATGATATTTCACGGTGCCAATAGCTTTCATAGAGTGTTTTACAACATAATGTGCGCTGTCGTAAAGATAGGGAGCCTGTGATTTGCACGAAAATTGCTCCAACAGCTAATGTTGTCATATATATATCTCAAACTTTATTGTTGCGTTTCACGTTTGCTATGTAGATTTGTTTTTCAGATGAAACGAGCAATTCGTGTGAGCCTGCTTGCTCAGGAGAAAGCGCACGATATTACATATTGTCACATCATCTCCGTTCTCCAGTTAAAGTGAGTGGATTGTCGAATATCTATGTTGTTTATTTACTTATTAAAAACAGTCTACAGGGTGGGCCAAAATTATGATTACAGCGCGCGCTGACGTTCATTGCAAATTTTTTCTATGTTCATAACAATTCATTGAATTTCTTCCATTTCACAAAGTAGCTTACGTTATTACCTTTCTAATGATACTAAACTTTGGGTAGATTTTTAACATAATATAGGCGTAACTAGTCCGTGAATTAAACATCGCTTTGCATTTTCAAACACTTTTGGCACGGTGCATCTACAGACGAACTAGCGAAACAAGGCAGGTATTGCATTCAACCATAAGACGCTCTCGAGAGTTGGGAACAATTGCAGATAGGAGTGGTGAACCTAGGAGTGCTGTGGTTATATTTAGGGGAAGTGTTAAGGAAGCAGGGCAAAGGTCTACATAGGAGCAAAATTCATTCTGAGTCTAAAAAGGATAAATGAATGGATATGTCACGAA